AGGCCACGAATCCGGTTAGTGTAGTTCTGTCTGAATGCCTTCAATCTCAAGAAATACCGCAATCGTTTCTGTGCATGTGTATCCAAATTCGTCTTCACATTACGGCCATATTGTTGGAACAAATATTTCATCAAGTTGCCGAAGTAATCATTGTTTGGCCATGCGGAGCGATTCTCGATGTCCACATTCTCAAAGCAATGCCGGAACCATGGATCCATAATGAAATCGTCTTCCTTGTAGCGCCGCAACACAGCATAGAAGCAATTTTCGATGATGTGCATTCCATCGCCATCGTCGAAATATTCCCAATTGCCGGTGATGATGGCCTGTTCAGTGGCAGCTCTGACTTTGTTGAGGAATAGAAGCGACGCCAATTCAGATATTTCGGTGCATTTTATGCTGGTTTTTGTGATCCATGGCAGAATACGATCACGATATTCCGGTCGAACAATACTAGTGGCGGCCAACTTGATTGCAAAGTATGCTTTCTCCTCCTTTTGCTTGCCATCTTCAACTTTCCGCGGTTTCGACCTATTGCCACGAATGGCATGTGCCCCAATCCTTTTTCTGCCCATTATTGAACCCTGAAAAAATAGAATGAAAACACAAAAATTACTTAAGAACGCACTAGAAATGATTTTTTGTTGCTTCTAAATTACTTAATTTGAACGAAAAACGAAAAAAAAACAATCACTGTAAATCGAACAGTATTCACAACAAATGACTTGCCTTTCCAAATGTTCAGATCAATGTGAATGTGCAACCGGCATCAGTTTGACACATCAAGCTGAATTTGGTTGTGACACGAACACCGCACACCGTGATAAAATATCGAAACGCTCACGATATTTCGACAGCAGATTTCTTCCACAGGCTACGGATCAAAACTGTAAACAAACAAAAAAACACACAACAATCGATGGTTTGTTGATTTCGAAAATCACATGCACACGGTGGTATTGTTTGGTTCGATCACTCGTTCGATGTCACAACGATAACAATTCAAATGACTTACCCTTTTTCCCTTTTGCTGGCTGTTCAATATGAATTTAGTCGAACGAAGCAAAGATTCATATTTCATGACATGGTGAAATTGTGAACGGCGGTTTGTTTACAATAACAAACTTCAAAATGAACCAACACTAATAGCGGGAATATTCACTACATTAGTTTTGCCTGCCATCTCTGGACAATTTAAAACGTAATCGTTGAAAATCAGAAGAAATGAATTTGAAAATATACTCTCACCATTTAGTTCATTCTCTTTGGATCAATACATGAACAAAAACATGAACAATTTAAATCATAGAATTTTATACTATTTTTGTGAACACTATTAATTGATACATAATTCTTTTCTCTTTAATTTAAAATCTAACATTTTCTCGTTCCCAATATTCATACAGTTGGTTTACACTGAAATTTCAGTCGATTTTGACGGAAAAAAAGTCTGAAAACGTTACATCTTTTAACGTTAAAAATGACTAAATTGCGTTACATGAATGTTTCTTGGGATACTCGCCAAATTCTTGTCGCATTGACAAGAAATTAGAAATTATACCTTAATTGCGGCGATTTTCTCCTTTCTTTTCATTTGTATTTTTTTCTTCGAACGTTTCGTTTTTGTCAGACTCTGTTGGTCTATATTTTTCATTAAGAAAGCACAGCATTTGGTTTTTAACCAACAAAATCTCCCTTCTATTTGGCACAATCAGCACAATCAACGTTTTATCAACATACCAATTTCATTCTCTTTCTTCTGAAGCTAACCAATCGACAAGTATTGGTGCATAAAATAGTGACAAGCCAAAATCCGGCAAACTTAACAACAAACTGAACACAATGTCGACAAATTTAAATGATGCGCGGCTGTGTTCCATACGCTTTGTTTTACTCAGTTTTATTTCACTCTGGCTACTGAATAATTTATAAATGCCTAGAATATGCAATTGTTTACGTTCCATAAAACATACTGGACACTGGTGCGGTGCGTATGGCTGGACAGAAAAAAAAGAGCATTTCTTTCACCGAACAAGAAACAAAAAATCAGACTCAGAACATGGTCTTTAGCTCCTGCACTCATGCAAATCCTTGTGCGCATCACAGCATTCGTTTTCATTCAGTGTTTGAAAACATGGATTTCGAGTTGTTTTTATTTTATTTTATTTCTCAAATCGCTTTTCAATGAATATTTCAAAAAAGAAGAATTCAGAAAAAAAAAATCAATCAAGACACGACGAAGCTTTTTGGGATTTACACGAAATTCCTTCGATTGAAAGTGCATCAAGTGTATTCAAGAGATGATATCAATCGATAGTTGCACTGAGGATGAAGTCTTCCATCGACTTGTTTCAACGATTGTGCGAATACACACAGCAAAAAAAACAATCGAATAGTGAAAAGGATAAGGAATGAAAACAAAAAGCAACCAATGTGAATTCAGTTCAAAAGTGGTCACGGTGCATTCATACGGATAAACATGACACACTGTACAAAATATGCTGTGCCGAGATGCACCGTATGCTGTGCATTGCAAAATGCACACGGCACTCGCATCTCCTGCTCTCGGTGTTAAAATTAACTTTAAAAGGTTATGGCTAAGCAGAAAAGGCACTCAGTCTCTCCCGGTCATTTTAAGATTGAATCAGCAGATAAAAGCGTTTTTATTTGATAACACTGTCCAACACACTTGACTGTTGTCATTCGTTTTGCGCGCAAATACATTTACCTTGCGTTCGAATGCGTACTTTTTGTCCGCTTACTTTTCGCTCATTTGACAAAACAAATAAATAACATTGTTAGATTCGTTTTATTATACTTACATTGCAACGGCTTTTCCACTGTAAAAATACATTTTTTCCCCTTGCAACATTGCATATGACCAGTTATGCAGTCCCTGGTCTTTTACAGTTGAAATGAATTTCAGATGTTGTTTTCAAATGGGAAACAAGATGAAAGTAGAGTTATGTAACATCGATTATTTAGAAGTGTTTCATTCAAATTTTCATGAGACAGCTGTTTTTTCTTCGAAAATATATCCGTTGATTTGTCACACTGAAGCTACGCAAGAGTGAACTAATAGTGCTAAAAAATATTTGCTAAAAAAACCTCCTGGAAAAAAATGAAAAGATTCAAGGTGTTTGTGTTTGTTTGTTAATTTGAATATCATTTCTTTATTCGGAACTTTTTTTCTTCTCTATCATTAATATTAATATAAATTAGGGAGTTACTAGAATTGTGGTGATTTTTTTTTTGTGTGTGTTTTCATTAGAGTTTGATTCGTAATTCTTTTTGATCTGAGAAATGATATAATTGAACAATAAACGTTAAATTTAGCTACACATTGTACGTACATTAACCTAACTAATTCACTTCACAAACGATGCTCTTCAACTTGTTTCTGTTTTTCTTTCATTTACCCATCATTCATGTTGTCGCATTTGGAACGAAAGCTCAATTGCCTGTTTCACGACATTTCTATTTTCTTCAACATACACATCTAAAACGTCAAAAATTGTAAGAGCCAATTTCGTGAGCAAATTTCCCATAGCATATGTATGGCTTTGCTCAAACCTCTTTCTTCTAGCGAAAGTGTGTGTTTCTCCTCTGTCCGGGCGACTACAAGTTTAAATTACGTAGAATATACACAAAAATCTAAATGCACCAGCAAATAGGATGAACGAAATCTTAATTTACCAAAAAAAAAAGAAGAAGAAAGTCAAACTTTTAATTGTAATCAATAAAATAACTTTTTGAGCGACAGTTAAATTTTCGATGGCCAATCAAATTTCCTTTCAATGAAATAATTTTAAAAAAAATCGCACAAAAAAATTTGAACCGAATAAAACGGCCATATTAGCAACATTTTACCGTATCCGCTTGATTTTATTTACTCTTAAATTGCTAAAAACCTAAAAATACAATTTAAATAAAGAAAGAAATCGGCTACTTCAAGCCAATGCTTGTCAAGCCATTTTATCAAAAGTTCGAATTTAATGAAGAAACATAAAGAGAAGACCAACACATCATTGACCAATTTTCGCCATATACGTCGCACAGTCCACACACTGCATGTGAATAAATTTTAATCAGTCTATAATTTATTCCGCTTGTTTTGTGCTGACTTTTAAGGCGCCTACTTGTTCTTTATTCTTTGTTGGCTCTCTTTTTTCGACTTCATATCGTCGAAATTCTCGTGTGAACTTTTCGCGCAACGAAGTGCTGTGTGTTGTTTTTTGTTGCTCTTGCGTGGAGGCGGTGACTGAAGAAAAGGCACCGAGCACCGCCCAATCCAGGTTTTTTTTTTGCTCTTTATTAATTTAATTTTATAATTCGTTCACTGGAGACATAACATGCGCGCAAATTATTAACGTAAAAACAACAACAGCAACTGAGCTGGAGCTCGTAGCAGCGTGGAAAATGTGACCGAAAGAATTTACATGGAAAATGGAAATGTGTTGGGTTGTGCGCGTTTCAATGCTGTGAAAATACATTGTACAGTATCCAATGTAAAATGAGTATTGTTCCAAAAGATGTCTAAGAACTAATTTACACCGAATTTCAGCAAAAAAAATATGGAAACTACTAAATTTGTTCAAGAAGAAAAGAACTTGCTAATAATTAAGAAGTCATGCCATTTGCAAAACCGAAATCGGATGCGTGGACCATTTTCCCTTTACGCATCAATCGCTTTAAGTTACATCAACATCATTTTTAGTTTTTAATGTTTTAATTAGTTTAATATATTGCACATTATTTTCATGTTTGTGTAATTTGAATTGAAAACGGTTTTTGTATGTTCGAAATGATTTTTTTTAGCATTTCGCTAAATACACGAAATTTACTTCATCGAAATTTTTTCGTTTATTCTTTGTGTGTGGATCGAACAATTCTTATCAAAACTCCATGAGTAAAATGAAACGAAATATTTTGTTTTTTTTTTTTTTAGATTGGTTTAGGAATTTTTTTTACGACTAATTTAATAAGATGAGCAAAATATAGATTTTAACGTTTAATAATTTTTACACCTAATTAACAAATACGCTTGTATCAGATCCAATAGTTCAGAGTTCATCGATTTTCTCTGCTATTCTTCACACCCCAAAAAATGAAAGACAAAAAATGAAGAAATTATTTAAATTGATATAAAGAAATCAACTCAATCGACTGTCGTCACTTAACCGAAAGCAAAATATTCTAATTTGTGATGTGTTCGGTTAAAATGCATAATTTTACGAATAATTGTTATAAACAGTTCCCCGTTTGGTTAATCTAAATTGTTGTGTGTGTGTGTGTCTGGGTATATATAATATATATTTGCTATGCTTAATGTTATAACTTTTTTACGTACACATATAATTCCTTGATGTTAGTTGATATCAATACCATCTCATTTCTCGTCGTCTTACAAAAAAGAAGCAGAAAACAATACTTAGATGCAGACTGGCTTAGCTTGCTTTAAAATTACGGTTGAATTCGTTTGTCTCACTTAGTTTTGAACATGAATTTTTCGAAGCTCGTTTGATGATGTAACAATCTTACACTGTGGGCATGGCTTTTTAGAATCCTATAGCGAACAAAAAAAGAAAAGACACCGGGAAAGAAGTCGAAAAGAAAAAAAAAATCGTTAAAAATCGATTTAGTTGCAATGCAATTTCGGTGTGTGTGTGTGTGTTTTTTTTCTTTCAAAAGACTAAAACCAACCTTACATATGTAGCATTTGTAGTGTGACTCCTCATCGTGACCTCGCAGCTTGAGCGGTGATCCTTCGAGCTCGCGTATTCGGGCGCGCAACTCTTCCAATACTTGGGCACGTGATGCTGGTTCGGTCGGTTCGTTGGTTGTGCTTACGTACGAATCAGGCGATGTTATCAGCGCTTTGTGATTTGTCAGATCGTTAGCCGACGAGTCGATTTCCATCGATGATACGGCCTCTTCCGCACTACAAAAGCGTAGGGTTTTTGTTTATTTATTTTAGAATAGTAGTAAGAGTGAAGAAGTTGTTGAACAATTTTAAAGAATTTGTCAACGGTAGTAGTAGTAGTATCTGAATTTGAATTGTACCTATTTTTATCGTTGCGCTTCAGATCTTTCGTTGATGGCATTTTTTTCGCAGTCGGGCATTCGCCTTCATCATGTGTTACAATGACTTCTTCGTCATTGTCATTGTCGCAATTGTTGTTGTTGTTGTGTTGCGTTGTTTCAGCACCGTTTTTTAAATCGCGGCTATTTGTCTTCTGCAAATCGACGATACGGTTTCGTTCTTGGACAATCAATCGATTTGGTGACTCGACGCTTCGATCGTATTCGTTGATTTGATCGCTACTGGTCGGTGTTGCACCCGATTCATTGCTGGATGGAAACATGGTCGGTGGACCACAACCCATGGCTGGCATTGAATTCACTAGACTTAGACTGGGTGCGCTCATGCTCGGTGGACTCGATCCCAGTCGATGCTGTGCATGTTTGGTGTGCTGTTGCCAAATACTGTTGCGTGATGTTATCAAATGGTCTTCGGTTGGCATACTGGCGCTGCTACTGGTGAATGGCATTGGTCGCATCGTTGGCCGAATCGTATCCATTTTTGTGATGTTATTATTATTCTGCGATGCAGCCAAATTCATTGCACTGCTTGCCGTCTCATCGCCATAGCTCTCGACGTCGACGGTTTCATCCTCTTCTTCGCATCGCGACTGACCACTCTGCAATTTCAAATAAAATTTAACATAAACAAAATTAGTTCCATAATTCGACATGAAAGAGATGAAATAAAAAAGAACGATGAAACCTGTCCATACAAACCGAACAACACTCTGTGAGACTTCGATGTTAAGAAGTTGAACTGACATCTTAAATCCTTGTTATTGGTATGATATAGCAAAAATATTGATTTAAAATGTACACACGCACAATTTTGAAGTCTCAAAAGCGTTGTTCAAATTTTAAACTTTCTTTGAGAATCGAATTATGGGAATTGATGAAAGTTGCTTACCTTTCGTAAACAGTCCTCTACGTGTTGTGCAATTTCCTCTGGTGTGCGTTGCAATCGCCCATGGCACACTGGACACGATTGACACTGCGAATTGCGAATATGCTCCGGGTACTCGGATTCCGAGTCTCCCTTACGCTTACGGGTCTTTGCACGCAAACGACCTTGACGATTTGTACGAATCCGCTGGAATGTCTGCAATTTGAAAGCAAAATGTATTTTGTTATTAGCAATGCAAAGTTTTCTGATTCACATGCAAGGATAATTTATGCAAAGACTATGCTCGATTCATCATGCTGAATTGTTATTTGTTTACTAAAATTTTCATTTTAACAAACTTTTTTTTCATCTAATGGTCTTGAACTCTCCAGAGCCAGATAATGATATTTTTTTCCCCGTCCTTCCGTATAATTCAATGTAAAACGTTAATGTGTTAATCATTTATATCTCACCTCCCACCGGCTGTCAGGTCCTTGTATCAATCCATTATTCATATGCATTCCACTATTCATATTAAAACTGGCACGGATGCGTTGACGCTCCGGTCCAGAGCTAAGCTTATACAATCGATCCAATTCGGCGAGAAAATGTGTCTCCAATTCATTTGATAATAAATGAACGCCACAAACTGGGCATGAATTTGACGGTGGTGTTCCGATGCTTGTTGTTACTTTCTTGATGGCTAGATTTGAGATGAAGAAAAATTGATGATTTATCAATGGTTTTTATAAAGATTTTTTATAAAAAAAAATATATATTTCAATATCTTATCATATGAAAATATCATGAGAACGACAGAACTGTGTTTTCTCTTGGAACTCAATATCATTTATTTTTCTTTGAAAATAATCATATTTGGTTTGCTTGATGAAACGCAAACAGGTATTGATGTACATCAAGCGACACTCCAGCAGAGGCCAATTAGGCTAAATATGGTGGAAAAAACAACATTGAATCGCAACGATTTTCCAGTTTTCATTGCAAATAAAGCGAGAGGAAGAGAGGGACAGAGAGAGAGAGAGAGAGATCATGTTGGGAGAGTGTGACTTTGTAATCAATACCTGACTCATTCCCCACCGTCAATTCCAATTTGTAAAAGGGAAGTGGGTTTTTTTGTTCTGTTGCCGCATGTCGCTTGAAAATGTGTGCTAACGACATTCGGAGTTTCGATTACAGTATAAAGTGAAAATCCATGATTATGAGAAAATGACAACGACATCGACCGATGAGTGGGAGATATTCGAAAAAGCAGGGGGTTTTCACCACAATGCATCACTGTGAAAGGTATTTAACACAAATATTGCTCTCAATAAATGTGTCTCCCGAATCCAATTGGAATGTTTTCAAAGTTGTAGCATCCTTTATTCCAATTTGATACAAAGCACGGTTTGGATTATGTGGAAAAGTGGAAATATCATTTACGCACTTGGCATTTGAATTATGCTAAACAGCATTCGGGGTTCATTTCAATTCGTTACGGCTTAAAATGTGATTGAAATAATCTCAAAAAGCTACTACGCAACGGAATCAGGGCGACTTTTTTAAAAGAGAAAGAGTTGCCATCGAAATTGAATCACATCTATTTTCGCGGCGTTGAAACGAAAAAATGAACGTTCAATTCAGAGCACTTTGAGTGGAAAAATGTTTGTCGGGTTGTTAAAATCGAAAATTTATGTACTGAACGCCGTAAAGAGATCGGTCATTACGACGTTTGACGAAAAGAAGAGCGAAAAAAAAAACACCAAGAGCAACCAAATCGAAATTGTGGATGTGCGAGTCAAAACAATGCAAACATCGTGGCAACAATGATATTTAATGGTTTTGCTTCGGACTGTTGATGTTCGCGTACGCGGCTGCAATTTTCGGGTGCAGGCGATTCAAATGGAAACAAATTGGCCTCGATGTGTGTATTGGATATATATATATATATATATATCAAACTGCGTTGATGTCGAAAATGATGCGGATCGTGTGGCAAAACACATGTATTTACGTTTTTCCGTATATGTCGAATTTGGGTTTGCGGTGATGTGCCATCAGCACGCGCGTTGAAGTGAAAACATTTAAATTAAAATCGCCGAAGCCCGATGGACCCAATATGTACGTATATACGATTCAATTTAGAATGCATCAGGCAATTTAACAATAATAAATATTTGTTTGGTCATTTGGTGCTGACGGTGAGAGAGGGAGAGCGCGCGCGACCGGAACAGATTTCGACCGGCGATTCCCACTGGATGGTGGTGATGCTATTTTGGTTACATTGTTATGTATCGCGAATCGCGTCAAATGTACACGTGCGTGAGTACGTACACTACACACTGTGAGTGTTTGTTTTTTTTTTCTGGGGGAGACGAAGCTGTTGTTTTGTATGACATGATGGCTCAAATTGAAATTACACTTTCTAGCTTAATGAATGATTTTGCTGGAATGAAAGAGTTCCACACACACAGGCAGGGGATGC